AAAAATCACTTCGCTGCAGCTCGGGCCCTTCAGTGAGTCGTCATGTTTCATCAATCATCCTGCCTGGATCAATTTCTTGTAGGTGGCCTCATTGCAAGACTCCGCCAGGAACACGACCTGGGCCTTGCAAGCTTCCACATGCTTGGCAACCTGAGCAAAAGCAGCAAAGCCAGAATGAAGTAAAGCACAAAAACCATGGAAAAACATTGAAAAAGTAACTTACCAGTGGACGCCTCGTGCAGGCCACGGATGACACCATCAACTTGGAGAGCCCGCTTGAGCACACCTCGTACAGCTCCATTCAAGTCAGTGACCTCACGAGAACTCTGCTTCAAACAGCAACTTCATGGACTTCCCCAAACTCCGCTGTGACTCGCCTCCTCCTCTTTCTCAGGCTCGACAGCGACAGTCTCCTCCTCTTCCAACTCAGCCATGATCTGACACAAGGCTACATTGCATCTGTAAAGAAACTATAGTAGGCCATACAATGTGATTGCCAACCCTGCCTTGCTAGCACAAACCCTTTCCAGCAAAGAGACAACCCTTTTTGAGCCCGACGTGAGTAGGGTAGAGTTGATTGCACTGCACTTTGCTTCGCAGCTAAAAGGGAACACTGTGCAACCTATCCGGTCTTCTCTTAATCATGTCTTGGATATTGTCATCTCTCGCATGTTTTCTCTTTTCTGTTGTTTGCTCGCAATCTTCTGTGCGGCAAAAATCCTACTCAGAACAGCACCCTCATCTTCATGCCTGGCAACAGCATGTGGCGGACAAATGCGTTGACAGGGCCATATGAAAAGGATCTGAACCCAATCCATTCTGGACCTCCACCCTAGTAGCAATGGCCTCCAACCTACTAGCAATAGCCTCCAACCCACTCGCGATAGCCTCCATCATGTTGTTTTGCAAATGTGTTTGAGAAACTAGTGTCATCGCGAAGATGCCAGGTGAACCATTCTTCCAAAGGTATTCGGGATGCATCTCAAGGCTTTGTCGCCGGCTCTCCGCCTGACACAGAAAGGAACGAGAAGACGAGAAGAGGCTTTGGGGTCGTCATAAGGTCGTCAAATTGTCGCATCAAATTGTCGCCAACTGGCGCTGAATTTCTTCACAACTTGCACTTGCCAGTTATGCTCAAGCATACTTGCTGAAATTTTGGAAAAGCAGGTGAAAACCAGCTGAAAACAACAAAGGTGTCATTGATATGTGTATTTGATTCCCTGTGTTCGCCTTCTTAAATCCCAAGCTGTCATCAATTCCATTTGCCTCCTCTTTTGACTCCAGGTCTTCCACGATGCGATCCCACCTCAGGCAACCACCGAGTAGGCTGCTGACAACGGACATCTGCGAAAAATCCAAGTAGACAAACGGAGAACAACGCGAACGAAAACAGAGACTGGGACAAACACAAGTGTGTCTTCCGAAAGTAATCTCTTGCCCATCCAATTGGAAAGTAAGAGTCATCTAATCCCACTTCCGTTCACCCAAACTCCCTTGTTTTCTTCGGTGATAGACCCGACAGAAGGTGTACCAGCAACACACATCCAAAAGTTGCAGTCCTGGTGTGTTTCTGGACGAAAACGTTGCAAAGTAGGGTCTGTTGTGCCTGCCCCAGAATGCCTTGTGGACGTTAGTTGAGGCGACGGTCGCAGGCCCATGGTGGAAGTCTGCTGCAAACCATTCCGGGTGGAGTCGGGGACCCCATCCTCATTGAAGAGCAGCATGGGCGACGACCCGTCACACACTGCAAAGGCGGAGGAGAAACTCCCAAGCAAATCAAATGCTCAAAAAAGATTTAAAACACCCAGAGGAAGGAAAAAGAGAAAGGCGGAAAGGTCGAAAAGCATCAAGTTTGGCTCAGACCGTCAGATGAAAACGTTCCTGCCGTCGGTGCTTCTGACAGGGCCCAACTTTTGAGCTGAGCAATTGCCCTCGCTACGAACGGAGCAAAGGGCATCGCTACTAGGAGCGCAAGGACGCTACGAACGGGGCTCCTGACATTACTACTAGGAGCAAGAAGCTACTAGGTTGGAGGTCATCACTCTTAGGTTGGAGGCCATCGCAAGTAGGTTGGCAAACGGGGGAAGGGCAGAAGAAGTAAGGAGGGACGGGGCGGGTGGTTTTGGGAGGCGCATGCTGAGGGCACCTATTGAAGGCTGCCTCGCTCTTTCACACGACAAGTGGCGGAAGGAACTTCCCAAGCATCACAAACAAATGTGTGCGCGCAATCGACAGGGCCAACCCTTTGCCGTTTGCAAACCAATGCCTTGTTGGCTTCAACTTGAGCCAGCTGGATAGCGATGGTAGCAAAATGGAGAATGTTACCTCAACTAAATTGCACCCTCAAGGTGCACTCTCATTGTGGTCAGCGACAGTATTTTGATCAGCTATCGTGACCGTGACTATTAGGTTGGAGATCGCTAGTAGGTTGGAGGCCGCTATTAGAAACAAAGGAAAAAGAACAGGAATAAGTAAAGTCTAATCATTCCTCATTGTCAAAACCTGTGGGTCAGCTTTCTACCAAGGTGGCCTTACAGCTCTCAAAACCATCTAGTTGCATTGCCTGCAACACATGGCAGCACCCTTTTGTAGCTCACTGTATCATCCTTGAATAAAAGAAAGCACCACCTTAAGGCTTCTGGGTTCTTGTGTTGTTGCCTCTCACCACTACGGACATGTGGGAAGCGCTTCGAAGCTCAGCAAACACTGAGAAAAGTTATCAGGCGCATAGACGTGGGTGAAAAAGAGCTTCTTGTTACTACTAGTAAGGCACTTGTTACTAGAAGCGATGCACTTGTTCCTAGTAGCTTCTTGTTACTACCTGAAAAAGAATCAGAACAATTGGATACAAAGTGATACAAACCGCATCAAACCGCCAACCTGGCGGGGAGAAACACCGAGGGTTGCACTTTTGGTAGTCGTCGAAACTCTTTCTCCCATTTGGCTCGATGCAGCGAGCCGAGGTCGCCTCGCAGAAAAACGTTGTTTCAGACCTCCCGGAGTTGGCGTTAGTTGACACGGAAGCGCTAGTAGTAACAAGTGCCACGCTAGTAGTAACAGGTGCCTTACTAGTAGTAACAAAGAAGCTATTAATTTACTTTAAACCTAATTCTAATAGCTTCTTTGTTACTACTAGTAAGGCACTTGTTACTAGTAGCGATGCACTTGTTACTACTAGCGAACCTTGTTACTACTAGTACGGCACTTGTTACTAGTAGCGATGCACTTGTTCCTAGACCAGGAAAACTTTAGTTTTCTTTGGACCGTTTTACCCTTTTACTTCTTGGCTTTAGAGCTTTCTTCCATGTTGGTGTCTTTTTGTCATTTTGTATTTAGACCATTCTTTGATGTGTTTGTACTTTGCTTTTTCTTTAGGCCTGTCTTGTCTTCTCGTTTTCCTCTATGTACTTGTGTTTCTTTAGACCTTTCTTCCACTTGTTCTTTCTAAATCTTTTAAATCTTTCTTTGGACCTGTCTTCCTTCCTTTTCGATGTTCTCTAGGCGTTTCTCCTTTTTTTTTCACTTTTAGATAAATTTATGTTGATCGTTCTTCCTTGTCATTTTTTCTCAGACCTTTCTTCCTATTATTTGTGAATATAATATATATATATATTGTGTTTCTCTTTAGACCTTTATTCCCTTTCTTTTTTGTAGACCATTCTTCCTGCTCTTTTGTATCTTTTCTTTCCACTTTTTCCTGTTCTCTTTGTATTATATAGTGTCTTCAGACCCTGCTTTTCTTGCTTGTTGTTCTTTCTGTTTTTTCCTCATTGCTCGCCGAGCCCGCTCCTCTAGTGAAACCCCAATTTGGAGTCCTAAGAAACATAACTCACCTTCCCTTTTCGAAAGCGAGCCTCCAGGTGAACTTGAGGTGAAGCTCTGAGTGCTACCTTGGACTCAACACATCAAAAGACCCAAACTTCCACAGATACCAGTAGCTTCTTGTAACTAGTAGCAATGGCCTCCACCTAATAGCGATGGCCTCCAACCTCTTGAAAATCTGTGAATGACTGGAACCCTTCACACCTCCACCTTGTCGTGCTTTTTCTTTTCCTGGTGCTCATCCACTTCTTCGTCCCTGCGCTGGTGACATGGTGCACATGCAGCTTGTGTTTCAAGCACAAGACGACTCCTCGGCGCCATAGCATATGCTGCAATAATTGCCTTGGAAAGCACTCTGCGATCATCTGCGATCAAACATTCTTGGAATGCATTCTGCTTGATCTCGGTTGGAGGCCATCGCTAGGATGCAAAATGCTTAGCTTTCTCAGCTCAGCGCTAGACTCTGCAGCTTCGTCGCGTGACTTCTGGAGCTTAACTGAGGCTGTTGCACCGAGGCTGCGGAAGCCTCGCTTTGTTGCCATCTCTTCAGCAGTGAGGCCATGTTGGTTGACTGATGTAGCAAGCGCACGGGCCTTGACAGCACTGAAAACCAAAAATCAAAGCTTTGCCTTGGAAGAAAAAGAGAAAAGGTAACCTAGAAGCGATGGCCTCCATTGCCTTGGAAGAGAAAGCCCGCACCTCCAACAACACTTTACAAACGTCTTCATGTCCAGAATGGGCAGCAAACATCAGCGCTGTGCTGCCTTAGTTCCAAATATGTAGATCGTATGATCGCAACCTTTGGAATAAAGAACATCCATGAGGCCTTCTTCGTTTGCCAGTGAGGGATCTGCTCTCAATCTGAGAAGCCCCTGCAAGCTTGAGACGCTGCGAGACATCAAATCTCCATTATCAAAAAGCAGTGCAGGCTTGTTGAACTGTCAGCTTGCACGGGTGAACTGGCAGTTCAAAATAGCTCAAACATCTAGAAGGGGTGCGAATCGCCAACATTTCTTTGTTGATTGCACCAAGCATTGCTGCGGTACTTGGCTTTGCTGCGGTATGCGAAATGAGAATGGTAGCAACGTAATATGGCCGCACAGTGGGAAACTGGGAAACATGCAAAGCACCTCCAGCACCGGCAGATTGCCGCGATGCGCTGCGTAAAGGAGTGGAGTTTCTGCACGGCGGTTCTTGGCATTGACATCAGCTCGTGCCTTTGACGTAACAAGAAGCTAGTAGTAACAAGTGCCACGCTAGTAGTAACAGGTGCCACGCTACTAGTAACAGGTGCCTTACTAGTAGTAACAAGGTTCGCTATTAGAAACAGCGGAATTCTTGCTCCTAGTAGTACGGCCAGGAGCTGCTAGTGGCGTCCTTGCTCCTAGTAGCGATGCCAGGAGCCCCTAGTAGCTTCTTGCTCCTAGTAGTACGGCCGGGAGCCCCCAAAACAAAACTACCAGAGAGAAATCTCTAGCTCTGCTTTTCACAAAGGAGCTTGAAGAAACACCTCGTTGAGAAGCAGACTTTTGCCAGCTTCTGGAGCAAACGAAGGGAGGTCTCCTTCTTCAAGCCATAATCAATTTTACATGTAAACAAATAGCGATGGCCTCCAACAAAATAGCGATGGCCTCTAACCTAATAGCAATGGCCTCCCGCCTAAAAAAGTGTGAAGAGAACTGAGCAAAGCCGAATCCTTGTGGTGGGAGCTCTTTGCAAGGAGATGTATGGGAAGGTCTCCACCTTGACCAGACACAAACTCGTTGCTGCAATTTGCACAAACTAACAACATGACCCTCTTAGATCCTATGTCGTTCTGCTCATGGAAGGAAAGAAACAACAGAACTGTCTAAAGAAAAAAACAAACTAGTAGTAACAAGAAGCTAGTAGTAACAGGTGCCACGCTACTAGTAACAGGTGGCTTACTAGTAGTAACAAGAAGCTATTAGAAACAATAAGCAAACTCAGAACATTGTTACTACTAGCTTCTTGTTACTACTAGTAAGGCACCTGTTACTAGTAGCGTGGCACCTGTTACTACTAGCTTCTTGTTACAAAGAAAGAATCATCAAAGAACTGAAAGTTCAGGTCATCTATGCAACTCAGGACACAACGTTCATCCGCGCAGCTAGGGCTGGCTCCAGCCTTGCGCAACAATCTCAATGATTCGATCATCTTTTGGACCTTTCTACGAACAAGAACGCTACTAGGAACAAAGGGCATCGCTACTAGGAGCAACGGCCTTACTACTAGTAACAAGAAGCTAGTAGAAACAATATATAAACTAAAACTTAATTAGAATTAAAGGAAAATTAGTAGTAAAGGAGGCTACTAGGACCTTTTCGCCCGCGCGCGCGCGCGTGGGCGCGGGGGGGGGGGGAGGAACAAGAACGCTACCAGGAACAAAGGGCATCGCTACTAGGAGCAAGGACGCTAGTAGGGGCTCCTGGCCTTACTACTAGTAACAAGCAGCTACTAGGAACAAAGAGGCGATGAAGTACGAACTTTCTTCGTTCTTTCCTGTGGCTAGCTTCCTTTCCTCCGTTCTTCCTTTCTCCTTTTAGGCTTTTTCTTTTCCTTTCTTGTTTCCTTGTGCCTTCTGTTCTAGTGGTTCTCTTGACGGCATGCTGTGACACTTTCAGGCGAAGGAGATGCCACTGTGCAAAGATGTGAAACGGCACACACAGCCCGCTCACGCCGCTCACGCCAGAGAGGTCACAATTCGTAGACTTGTTACTAGTAGCGATGCACTTGTTACTACTCATACGTGAGTAGTATTACACAAAATCAATGAATGTCTTTTGCAAAACTCTTTTCATAGAATGTGCCGATCGTGCTTTTTCAGGCCTCCCAACAGGTGGGAAGTCGACTCGATAGCGCGGCAACTTCCGCGCCAGCAACGCGAAAGGAGTCTAGGAACAAGTGCATCGCTTCTAGAAACAGGTGCCTTACTAGTAAGTAGTAACAAGAAGCTTTTAGTAACAATAAGAAACTAGGAACAAGTGCAAGCTAATAGCTTCCTATAGCTTCCTAACCTACAAGCAATGGCCTCCAACCTAATAGCGATGGAAGGCCGCCAGCAATCTGATCTTGCAAATGCTCTGACTCATGCAAGACGCCCAGGGCTGTAAAGGCACTTTCAAGATACTCACGCCACCGCGTTGGCACTGCGTATGCGTCTACGGAACAACTCCGATCAAACCACAGCTTTCGCAGCACCTCGACTTTCTTCACACAATTCGCAAAGCCCTTGTTCGATGCTGTCACAAGTGGAGGGGATGCCACACGACCCAAGCCAAATCACCGCATTTAGCGCTGGTGCAGTAGGGTCGTGCCGTTGCAAACAAAACCAGCCACCAGTTTCACATCCAAGCAAGCCTAGAGATACTGCAGTGACAAAACAAAACAAAACCGTTTTCGTGGGGCCTTGGGAGGGCCACTGGAGGCCTGCAAAGATTCGTCATGCAGCCATGGGCAGCTTTGAAGACTATGAGGCATGGACGCGCTTCAATTCCGAACGAAAACTAGGAAAACTTGCCTCAGGTCGCGTTAGTTAACCCAGATTGAAATCAGAGACAAACCCAAAGACAAACGGTAACCTGAGTTTTCGCAGGAGTCTCATCGAATCCTTACACTAACCTCGCGCTCCTCCTTCCAGAGGTCAGATCCAGAATTGTTGCAAGGGATCAGAGCAAAAGTAAGGTCATCTACAAGCCATTTCAATGAATAGAAGGAGTAGCTGCATATGGGAAGCACTGGGTAGAACCGCGTTTGGCACCCCAAAAAACACCGCATATAATATATAACTATATTATATAACAGCAATGCCACAACTGTGCACATCACCTGCACAATCATCGCGCATAGCACAGTGTATGGCACCACGGTAGCATACTGGAAAATTACCCATGACAATGAATCTTCAACGGCTAGTAACAAATGCATTACTACTAGTAGCAAGAAGCTACTAGTAGCGATGCACCTGTTACTAGTGCCGATGCACTTGTTACTAGGGCGGGGGCTGATTGAGCAAGAAGCTCGGTACTCCAAGAAAACTTGACCAAAAACACGAGAAAAAAAGTGATGCACATGCTGCACAAGTCCGGTGGGGAGAAAGGAATGCACAGGAAATCCCACACATTCCAGTTAGTCCACAATTTGGAGATTGTCCGTGCAAGTGCAAAACATCAAAGAAATGAGTACCGTTGGATGTCAACAGAACACACCGCGCGCCTCGATCGCAGCTTCAGCAGTCCTCGCAAAACCATATTGAAGACGCTTGACACGGCAAGTGACCGCAGTGCAAACATTCGAACAAGAAGACATCATCACCAGCCAGACATCTGCCAAGGGCACAGGCATCATCGGGACCGGCGTTCAATGATGCCTCCAAGTGGGAGTCGTCCGTACATGCTAGTGAAGGAATTTGGACGAAATGACATTCCGCGAAAGGGAAACTGCAGCCCGCGCAAGGCAGGCAATTGGACGGCGAAAGAAATGCAGTATCTTAGACATACGCAACATACACACAGACTGGCCGGAAGTGCATGAGCGCGTGTGATTCATTGTAGTTTCACCTGTTCAACTGCGTGAAATCCAGACGAACAGCGTCCGATCGCTCCTAATAGCAATGCCAGGAGCCGCGAACGTAGCGTTCTTGTTCCTGGTAGCTTCTTGTTACTACTAGTAAGGCACTTGTTACTAGAAGCGATGCACTTGTTACTACAGTGCGTTTTCCTTCCTCGGATCCGTCCCATCTTCATCTGCATCGCTTCGGGACGAACGGCACGAAGAAAGCATCTCCGCTCTGCCTCATCACCCACTAACTGTCAGCAAGAAGCCTTCTACCGAGCTAACCAAAATGAAAGGCCTGCTGCAGCCCCTCTCCACAGAAGACAAGCCAAGAAGAGCAAGACCAAGACCAAAGAGTCGAGTGGCCTACTCTGCCGAACAAACAACGCGTATCATGACGACACCACGCCGCCTAGCAACCCTTACACTGACGGACGAAGCCCAAGCATGACTAGGACACATGCGAGTGCTGGCCGGCCCCAACAAAAACTTCACAAGTTTCACCGAAAGTCTCTTTCTCAAGTCAGTGTTTCCAGCTACTAGCAACTGGTTACTAGTAGCGTCCTCTTATTCCTAGTAATCATGCCAGGAGCTACTAGTAGCTTCTTGCTCCTAGTAGCGATGGCCTTTGTTACTAGTCTTTCTTCGCAAGTCTTTTGCTTTGAAAGCGCCAAGCTCAGGAGGCTCCTTGCATCACGGAGAATGGCCTTGCTGAGTGTCCAGCCATGGCGCATGGGCTTCTCCTGATGACCACACTTGCGATGCAGTTCGGAGTTGACACGAAATAGCTTTCCTTTCATCAAGTATTGACCCACTACAAGATTCTGCCAGCACTCTGTATAGCATTATGATCCTGAACAAGATAGCACGCCTTTCATAGCTTTGTAAAGCTGCGGCACTTCCGGCTTTGACAGCTCATTGGATCCCGCAATCACTTGTCAATCGGATCGCCCGTGCGTCGTCTTCCTTGGCTTCAACGAGCTGCAGCACTTCCGGAACCATTCGGAAGTCCTGGCAGGTCCACAGGTCCAGACACTGCTCACAGCACTCTTCGGGTACAAGCAATTGACGTGCACCATTGGGTATGTCCCATTCCCTGGAATTGTGGATGTGATTGTTTACTGACTATTACAGGCCACAAGCAACTAGAAATGTATAAATAGAATACGGATGGTGTAAAAATCAGAGGAGTGAGGTAAAAAGTTTAGATTCGGAAAAGCAAGTGGACTGTGCAACTTGGCATTCGTAGTTTCGAAAAAAATATACAATAACGCATTGATTGGTATCCCAACGTGTGCCTACTGTCAGGTCAATATTTGCCACACGCGCAGAGTGAAGTCTACCACGACACGTTGCTGCAGTAGCATCCTTGTTCCTAGTAGTACGGCCAGGAGCCCCAAGCAGCGTTCTTGTCACTAGTACTAAGGCCAGGAGCTACTAGTAGCGTCCTTGCTCCTAGTAGCGATGCCCTTTGTTACTAGTAGCGTTCTTGTTCCTAAACCCTTTTCAGCACCTTTCCACCAACGTTTCACTCAGGTTGGCATCCAAGCGCCTCCCTCACATGCCGCTGTCTCGTCCACGTTCGGGCATACCGCATTGAAGGTCTAGTTTGGGGAAAAAAGGATAACAAAAAACGAAAAGAGACAAGAGTACAAGCATTTTACCGGTAGGTCCCGCAACAAAAGACAAAGATGACAACCGTAACAACCTTCCAAGGTGACACACAGCTCCCCCTGGCAGCCTTGCTCAGCTTGTTTGTCAACCACTCGGAGTCCTTCAAGACTGCTGTCTTTGCATGGCAAATAAATACACCAAGCAATCAGCAGGCAATGGCCTCCAACCTACTAGCGATGGCCTCCAACCTACTAGCAAATAAAAAACCAAGCCAACCCTTTGCAGCTAAGGAAAAAACAATCTGGACACAAAAACACAAATACAATCCCGAAGTGGCGCGCTGCTGGTTCGTACGCGTGTTCGATGGTGTTCAGAAGGTTTCTAGCTCCGGTACTTGTTGCAAAGTAGGCTAAAGAAAAAATGTCTCAATTGCTTTAACTTAAAACAAATCGGCGCTGGGTGGCAGCCATTGGCAGCTCTTACATTGTGCTTCTTTGCAACGGTGTATTAGGAGCAAGGACGCTACTAGGGGCTCCTGGCCTTACTACTAGGAGCAAGGACACTACTAGGGCTCCTGGCATCGCTACTAAGAGCAAGGACGCTACTAGGGCTCCTGGCATCGCTACTGGAAGCATTCCTACTACTAGTAACAAGAAGCTATTAGCTTATTGTTTCTGTTGATGCATGACCCCTGCACAAAGATGACACGCTTTTGCATGCTGCATGAATCTGCAGCCCTTTTAGATGAAGTTGAGGTCAAGACACCTCAACGGGGCGAGAAGACCCCACCAAGACCACGAAGTCAGCAGAAAAGCAGAGCATCCTTTTTGCGTTGTCTTGAGGGTTGTTTTGAGAGGGTTTTACTTGGGTGAGGAACATGCCCGACCACCAACAGGTTATGAGCCCAACGTTGGAAGGTTCTTCTAATCCACACCCGTCTATGCTCCGGCGCCGTCGAATCATGGACCGTGACGATGGGCCGCTCGCTTTGCCACCTCCTGCTGATGTCCGCGAAGACCTGGAGGTGAAGCAACCAGCGGAAGAGCTCGAAGCTGGTGTAAAGGAAGAAGAAGCCAAAAAGGAATTCAGCACCCCGGCTCGCTCGACAACTGGGCTGGGGAATACAGGAACAGGGAAGACAGAAATAGAGGTGTTCAAGAGCGGTGGATCGAAAGAAAGTGTCGTTGAGGCCCCAAGAGGAAAGCCCATGACCTTGGCTCCGTTGGTTCCACCGGCACCTCAAACCATGCAGCCCTTGTTCTCCCAGGAGCAGATCCGTGAAGCTAAGGCATCTGCTCGACGAGCTCCACAACTTTTCGGCCCAGGTTTGATGCCGTCCTCTTCAGGTGATGATCAGCCGACTCAGGTGTCTCGCCCTGCCTTCCTGGAAGAAGAAGAAGAAAAAAGGGAAGGAAAAAGAGGAGGTAAGAAAGAAGGGTATAGAAGGGTGGTGGAGATGGAAGAAGAAGAAAGTGAGGAGCTAAGAAGATGTGAGGAAAGCTCCAACGACCCTCGAAGGACCCGTCGCGATCGAGAACGGGAAGACCAAGAGGAAGAAATCATGTGGCGCTGGCAGATTTCACAGGATGTGCAACGGCTCACTGACCTTTGCCAGGCCCAACAACGTGAAAATGATCGCCTCCAGCAAGAGCTCTATGAATGGAGGATTGAGGGGGAAGACCGAAAGAGGTTGGAGGTTGAGGAAAAGAAGAAGAAGGAAAGGGAAGAAATGGAAAGGCCAAGGAGTGCCTCCAACTTCAACACCCCTGATGAAGAGGGGCCGAATGGGGTTCCAGGAGCCGATGACCTACATGCCCGAGGACGTACCCCGTGGTCGACCTACCCTGCACGCTATGGGGTCAAAGGTTCCAGGTCCCGCTCCAAGGAACAACAGAGAAAGGGTCGAAGTCCATCCTATGGAAAAGGGGAATTGAAGGGGCCTAGGCCTACAACCGGGGGAGCCAAATTGTCCCCTGAAGTTCAACAGATGGAAGTGATGACACTTTTGGTGGAAAGTATGAAGTCCCTCCAACGACAGATCTCCGAGGGACAAGAAGCTCAAGGAACGGTGAAGGGGGTGGAGATTGTCCGGCAGGTGGCTGAACTACCTGTTCTACATCCTCTACATGGTTCCACCTCGCAGCTGCAGCTTGGTGATTGGCTGCTCCTTGTTCAGCCTGTGGTGGCTGACCTGACGACCACCTCTGACATTTGGTGGGATCGAATGATGACTGAGGTTGAGAAGTGGTACCAGGACCACCAAGCAATGGCTCCTTTGGAACGGGTCAAGCATGAACCTGTGCCGCCATCATCACTCAGTGTTCCGAAATGGGCGAAGCTCGAACGGCGAATGGCCACCCTGTTGCTGAAGGCAATTCCAGAAGTTCAGAAAGATGAACTGGTGGCTACAAAAAGATTGTCAGTCTTCGCCATCCTCGCCCATCTTCACGTCACCTACTGTCCTGGTGGCATAAGCGAGAAACAAATGCTCCTGCGGAACCTTGAAGATCCAACGGAACCAGGAAATCTGCACGACACGGTGGTTGGCCTCCGTCGATGGCTTCGCTGGCGTGCAAGGGCTCAGGAGATTGGAGCCACCGAACCCGACCCGTCCATTCTGGTCAAGGGTCTGAATCGCTTGACGAAGCGAGTTTTGGATGCCAATGAAGGTCTACGGTTCCGGGTGTCTCTTGCTCGGAATGCCCTCCAAGTTGACACCAATCCCAATGCGCTCTCGGTCAGCCAATTCGCCACCCATCTCATTGCCGAGATCGAACAACTCTCCTTGGCTGAGAAGCGAAGTGGTGCAACTACAAAAAAGGAGGAAAGTAAAGTAAAGAAGATGGAGGAGATCAACAGAAAGGCCAAAGGAGGTGAAGGCAAGCTGAAGGAGATGGAAGTCAAGTCACCGTGCAAGTTCTTCCTCAGCGAGGCCGGATGTCGTCGTGGCCGTGATTGCAAATGGTCGCATGACCAAAAGGATGAACAGAAAAGGTGTTACCTATGTGGCTCCACGAAACACCTAGCTCCGACCTGCCCTACAAAGGAGAACTCAGGTGGAACTGCCCCCAACTCGCCACCGAAGGTTAAAAAAGAGAAAGAAGAAGAGAAGGATCCAAAAGGCGAGGAAGGAGGAAAAGGAAGTGGAGGTCAAGATGATGAAAAGATGGATGAACTTCTCGCTGAGGCAAACAAGATGCTCAAGGCGATGAAGGACAAGGAAGCTTCGGAAGCCAAGCTGAGCAGATTGCATCAGCAGCTCGATGAGATCAAGAAAAGCATCAAAACCCTGAAGCTGACCCGCGTTCGCGAAGCGAAGATGGGGTCTTTGCAAGAAGAAGAATGGGGACTTTTGGACTCTGGTGCTACGCATCCCCTGAGGCCTCTTACGTCTACGGACAGCCTCGAGAAGTTCAAGAAGGTCTCTGTGTCCTTGGCTGATGGCCGCACCACACCTCTGCTGATGACTGAGTCGGGGGTGATGGTTTCAACAAATCTACAAGTGGAACCAATAGTACCCCTTGGAATGCTGGCGGGAGGAGGATGCAGGATTTCATGGAAGAAACATGGCATGAAAGTCGCCCATCCCACAAAAGGATCTCTGCCGATCAGCATCCAAGCGGGGTGTCCACAGATCCCCAAGCAGCTGGCCCTCGAGCTCATCCAGGAGTATGAGGATCGTGCCCAGGAGGTAAAGCAAGCTCGCTTGGTGGGTGAAGTACATCCTGAACGGGAGGTGGAGTGGATGAAGTTGCTAGTTGAAGGCCATCCAGCTTTGGCAGAACTTCCCGAACATGTCAAGAAGGCCCTGGTCCAACAACCGGGGGAGTGGAAGGACCTCCCTGCCAACCGACATCAACGAAAGCGGTTGAAGGCAGCTGGTTCGGTGATCCTGCATTTATATGCTGGAAAACGTGAAGGATTCACTCTACAAAAGGCTATGGAAGAGCATGGCTTGGGAACCCGTACCTTGGAGGTGGACCTACAGAGGGGTGATGATCATGATATGGCATCCCTGGACTCGAAGGCCTACAAGGGCCTGCTTCGTTTGGCGTTGGATGGGGATTTGGCGGCGGTGATTGGAGGGCCCAACTGTCGTACCCGATCAGTTTTGCGACACTACCCCGGTGGTCCAAGACCTGTAAGATCCTGGGAAGAGCCATGGGGCATCAGTGCCCACAGCCCTGAAGAGATGGCTATGTGTCAGGAAGATGATGTCCTGATGTGGCGTCAGATCTTTCTCTTCCTGGTCGCGGACATGGCTGCCAAGTTGAAGGATTCAACTGATGAAGATAAAGAAAAGAAGAAAAGAGAGGAGGTGATGTTTCTGCTAGAGCAGCCTTCTGATCCTAAGGACTACATGCCCTCGTGTGTCTCCTTCTGGAGTACGAAGCCATGGAAGAAGCTTCAGAGTGCCGCTCATCTACAAGTCCACCACTTGAACCAAGGAGACTATGAACCCTGGAAGGAGGATGCTCCGGTGAAGCCTACAACTCTGGCTGCCAATGTGGAGCTCCGCTTACCAAAAGGAAAAAACCCTGGATCGAAGAGCAGAGGAGAAGGTCAGAAGGTTCCATCGTCCTCACTTGCTCGCTGGGTTCCGGGACTATGTCGCTCCGTCGCTGAAGCCTGTGCTCTCCACATCAATGGAAATGTGGAGGAGGAACCAAAGCTAAAAAGGATGACATGGGAGCAACACTGTCAAAATGGTCACGCGCCCTTCCGAAGAGATTGTCGAATCTGCCAGGAGCAAAGTGCTAAGTCCCGACCGCATCGAAAGGTCACACACCCACTGGCAGCGACGTTGTCACTGGACACTGCTGGTCCATATCCTGTCGCCAAAGATGGTAAGGACTTGATGAAGTACATCCTCGTTGGCACCTACACCTGGCTTCTTCCTCAGGAACAGCATCCGCCAGTACCGGATGATGAACTGGCTGACTCTGATGAAGTGCTGCTTGAAGAAGAAGATGAGGAGGAAGGAAATGAAAAGTGTGAGGAAGAAGAAGGTGGGGCAGAAGAAGGCGAACAAGGTGAAGAGATGAAGGAAGTTGAAGTGGGTGAAGAAAAAGAGAACCCCGATCTGATCACCTTTAGACTCGCCATTCCGATGGCCTCAAAGGATCAGAAGACGGTGCTGTCCACTATCCAGCAAATGTA